CTCCCCGGCCCCGGCACTTTGGCGGGTTCCGGGCGCGGAAAGCGCGCGCGCCAGGTCGGGGGCGGGGGGACCCCATGGAGGCGGACTCGGCGGCCAGCCCGAACCCCGGGGCTCCGGAACCGCAGGCGGTGGGAGCCCCGAGCACGATCGGCAGCCTGCTGTGCCGGATCCGTGGTAAAGTCTTCACCTGGTGAGTGAGGGGCTCCCCGGAGCCGGGGTGGAGGAGGAGGAGGAGGAGGAGGAAGGAGAGCGCGGCCCGGCCCGGCCCGGCGCGCGAGCAGGGGACGCGCTCGCACGTGTCTACCCTGCCCCGGGGGCCCAGGTGGCGGCGGCTTGGACTTTGGATCGGGGCGCTGGGGCGAGCGCACCGGGGAGGTTGCGCTTCGCCTGGTTTCCTGAGGGCGCTTGGCTGCCTCTCAGCCATGGTGGGGATGCGTTTCAGGGGATGGGGTGGGGATCCACCCCTGGGAAGTGTGCTTAGATTCCCCGGTGTCACCCCCAATCCACCCCCCCTCCACCCCTGTCCCGGGCCCCGGGATGCTATGAAGGAGGCGTGGTGCACGCCCGGGAGCCTGGCTAGGCGGATGATCGCGGCTTCCATTGCTGCCAATCCCATCAGACAGGCCAGGGTGACCTTCTCCACCTGGGCTCACTCAGGTGAGACACCCAGGGAAGTTTTGGGCGCTTGCATTGAGGGTGGGGGTGTTGTTGTTGTTGTTGTTTGACAGAACCTGCCTTGGATCTTGCCCCCCCCCCCCCAGCATCTCCAGGGCTGCTTGGTCTGGGAAACCCCCTTTTTCTGGTGTCGCCCAGCCCTGTGGGATGTGGGGAGAGAGGTTTGGCCGCGGCTTTGGGGAGAGCACATTTCTGTGGTTAATGGAAGCCTTCAGCCTGGAAATTACAGATAGCCCAGGACCTAAATAAGGAAAGCCATCTACAGAGGGCTGACGGTGTGGCCCTTAGCAAGTTGTGTGGAAAATACCATGCCATCCTCAAGTACTTCAGAGGATGGCACCAGCCTTAGCCAGGAGCTGACCTGTAAGGGGTGGAGCCTGCAAGCCTGGGTCTTAACACTCCATGGTCACTCCCCATCACTGGCACCTGATGAAATGGGCATTTGCTCCCCCTGCCTCTTATTTTGTTTATTTACTTATTTATGCTGCACTGGCTTTTGCTCCCCTTTATTTTATTTATTTGTTTTTATTTTTGTTGGTCCTGGGGCTTGATCTCAGCCTAGATGCTTCTTTCACTGAGTTCTCCCCCCCAGCCCCCTCCTGTCCTGGGACTTGAATCTGTCCTTGAACTCCTTTTGCTCAAGGCTAGGACTTTACCATTTGAGCCACTGCATACTTCCCGACTCTTATGTGATTAGATGTAGATCGAGTCTCAAGGATTTGACTGCCTGGGCTAGCCTTGAACCCACCACAATCCTCAGATCTCAGCCAGCTGAGTAGCTAGTATTACAGGTGTTTGCTACTGGTGACTAGCTTTGGGCGGTGGCCTCCTCCTCTTCCTCTTCCTCTTCCTCCTCCACCTCCTTCTTCATTCTAGGCTAGCACACTACCACTTGAGCCAAATGTCTACTTTTGGCTTTTTGGTGGTTAATTGGAAATAAGAATCTCATAGACTTTTCTGCCTGGGCCTGGCTTTGAACTGTGATTCTCAGATCTCTGCTTCCTGAGTAGCAAGGATTACAGGCATGAGCCACCGGCACTGGCTTTTGCTCCCCTTTATTTTATTTATTTGTTTTTATTTTTGTTGGTCCTGGGGCTTGATCTCAGCCTCCTGAGTAGTTAGGATTACAGACATGACCCACCAGTGCCCAGCTTCCCTTTATTTTAACAAAACAATTTCTCTTCAAAGCTAATATCCTAAAAAGCCATGCCATTTTCCAAACTAGATCAATAAAGGTGTATGCATTTTGCTATATGAGTGACTATAGTTTTAAATAGACTCCTATGCCTAAAAGGGAAAGTTGGCCAAAATTCACCACGTGTCCTCTAGTGCATATATCCTGGTAAAGTAGCTGTAAGTGCTCAGTTGGGAGGCAAAATGGTGGCCTGGACAAGGGCACAGATTCTAGATTCAAATCCTGGCTTATTGGCTTTAGGTTGATCTCTGTGTTCCAGTTTTCCACTTGTAAAATGCAGGACCTACTGGGCTGGGTGTTTAGCTAGGTCAGTGGTGCAGAGCGTGCTTAGAATGTATAAGACTCTGGGTTCAAGCGTTCCTCTCTCTCTCTCTCTCTCTCTCTCTCACACACACACACACACACACACTTTCATTCCCAGCCATGAGACAGCACTTACACTGCAGGACTGTAAGAGAATTTCTTGGTTGACTGCACCGTCGTGGGCAGACAGCTTGGCTCATTCCAGTGCCAGGCATGCGTTCCTGATCACTCTCAGCTCTCATCATTTCTGGGTGATGGGTACGTGGCGTACCTGCTCCAGGAAATGCCAGTGGCTCCAAGGCTGGGACTGACAGTGTAGCAGGCAATGGCAGTTTAGCCAGGTGCAATTAGAGCTAGCAGTGTTTGTTTTTTAAATTCTCTTAAATTCTATTATTTTTCCAGTTCTGGCATCATTTACAATCAGAAGAATCTATTAGCCTCAACATTTGAGATTTCTTCTTTTTCTAATGACTTTATTCTTTTTTTTTTTTTACGCCATGGGGCCTGAACTCTGGGCCTGGGCGCTGTCCCTCAGCTCTTCAGCTCAAGGCGAGTGCTCTACCACTTGAGCTACAGCGCCACTTCCGGTTTTCTGGTGGTTTATTGGAGATAGGAGTCTCACGGTTTCTCCTGCTCAGGCTGGCTTTGAACCGAGATCCTCAGATCTCAGCCTCCTAAGTAGCTAGGATTACAGGTGTAAGCCACCAGTGCCGGCTTAATGACTTTATTCTTAAGTTGGCTGAGGGCTTTTCATACTCCCGTTATGTGATGGCTATATTGGCATATCTTACATGATGCCTGGTGACGGCATATGTACATATATATATATATATATTATCATACTCCTTTCATAGTGCAGTGCTGGACAGAGTTTATTCATTCAACAAACCTTTTTTTGGGTCCGGTCATGGGGCCTGAACTCTGGGCCTGAGTGCTGTCCCTCCTCAGCTCTTCAGCTCAAGGCTAGCGCTCTACCACTTGAGCCACAGCACCACTTCCAGCTTTTTTACGTATGTGGTTCTGGGGAATCGAACCCAGGGCCTCATGCATGCAAGGCAAGAGCTCTACCACTGAGCCACCTTCCCAGCCCATACATGAACAATATTCTAGAGCCTAGACTCATCTCCTACTATGACCCTGATTAGTATTTAGTTCCTGCTCTCAAGAAGGTACATAACCAAAGTAAGAAGTTATGGTGATTGCCATATAGGTAAATACAAAGTTCAATGAGGACACAAAGCAGGGTAGAGATCAAAGATCAGACTTCACAGGTGAGCAGGGATGGGGAGCTTGAAGCACTAAGTCAGAAAGGAGGAAGAGCAGTGCAGGCTCAGAAGGCTGCAAGTCCAGGCCCAAGGCCCTTACAAGGAGCCTGGTGTGAGAAGGGTGTTGGCCAGAGGAGAATGAGGACAAGATCCTCTTAATGTAGCAAAGGGCTGGTCTGACCCTTTGCTTTTTCCTTTCATTTTTGCTTTCCTCCTTTGAAAGAGTAAGATCTAGACCCAGTCAATCTTGGACAATCTTCCTCTCTGTACCGCATTCCCCTTTTTATTGTGAGATTAGAAAAATCTGTTTCTGGACTCAAGAAGCCAGTAATAATCATGCCGTGTGTGTGTGTGTGTGTGTGTGTGTGTGTGTGTGTGTGTGTGTGTGTGTGAATACACAAGTTCTCTAGGCCTAGGTGTTGTCCTTGGGCTTTTTTTTTTCCCCCCTATCACTTGAGCCACAGCTCTGCTTCTGGCTTTTTAGTGGTTAACTGGAGATAAGAGAACATCTCGTGAACTTTCCTGCCCTGGTCTGGCTTTAAACTTTAAACTGTGATCCTCAGATCTAAGTCTCCTCCTGAGCAGCCAGGATTACAGGCATGAATTACTGGTGCCTGGCTCATGTCTAGTTTTGGTGATCTGTTGTAAATAGTGTTTCAGCACATTTTGCACTGAACAATTTTTTAAAAGCAGTTCTTTATTGGAGGCCAGCCTGCACACTGTAGGATGTTGCAGCACCCGAGCCTCTACCCACTATGTGCCTGAATAGCATAGCAGCCCCATCCCTTTAATACACACACACACACAAACACACAAGCACACACACACACACACACACACACACACTGCCCATGACAATCAGAAATGTCTCTAGACATTGTCAGACATCTCATCTCCTGGGAAATGTGGGTGTCCATCTTGTGAACCTTCTCATGGCCTATTGTTTTCAACTGCCTCATAGCATTGATGGCTTTGTGGTCCCAGGTAATTTCATGGGAAGCTGTTGGCCAGGCCTTGGGCCCGAGTTCCTCCAAGGGACTTTGGATGGAGAAGAGGTTGGAGAAGAACCACTGTGGGTTGGTCAGCTGTCCTGAGAGGAGGAGGAGTCTGCCTCTAGATTGTGGCCTATCAGCTTCTGGAGCTTGGAGGGGGGCGGGAGGAATGGTTGCTGGTGGGATGGTCTGACCTGTTTTGTTACTTTCTTAACACTGTAAAGAATTGTGAAAGACCAAGGATAAAAGCCTCTGCATAAAAGCCTTCACTAAACCTGTGGCCGCTCCTTTCTAGACTGCTGTCTGAGCCCTTGTCAGGGCCTGCGCACTGTTCTGAGCTTTTGTACTTAAAGCTAATGCTCTACCATTTTGAACTACAGTACCATTTCTAGCTTTTTGTTTTTGGTAATTAATTGGAGATTAGTCTCACGTTTGTTTGTTTATTTTCCCCAGCCAGGGCTGGCTTTGAACCATGATCTTCAGATCACAGCTTCCTGAGTAGCTAGGCTTACCCATGCTCAGCTGCCTTCGTTAATTTTGAGGCAGGGTCTTTCTTGCTTTCTGTCTGGGCGAGGCTGAGTTACGATTCTCCTACTTGTGCTTCCGCATGGCACTGGGGCTGGCAGGTGTGGACCACGTGTCCAGATACTATGCTGGCCTTACAGGTACACACACACTACCACACCCAGTCATTGGCCAAGATGGAGTCCCAGGAATTGACCTTGAGCTACCCGCTCCTGAATTCCACCTCCCAAGTAGC